GACTTGAGTCTCTTTAAAGAAATGCCCAGAGGCAGGGAGAAGAAAGATTATATAGAGAGCTCACCAAAATGAAGTAATGCGCTTGCTCTCTCTTGGTCTGCTTGGAACATTCTCTTCACTGTGGGACCACTGCCCACAGGAGCCCTTGTATAAGGGGGCCTTCCCAGGGCCTGAGGTGCCCCCACTCCCTGGAGGACAGGGTGAGGGCTGTGCCCTCCTAGCTCAGCACAGCACCCCCCAAAGTTTCCCCCAACTGGGCCTGGCAGGTGAGAAAAGGTTCAAAGCTGAGCAAGTAAACAAATAATTGTTTTTTAAATCTTTTTCGGAATATACTAATTGACTGATTTATCATAAATTATAACTGTAAGCATTTTTATACCGCTGGGCACCCTAATAACGCTTAAATATTGATGACATTTTTGTAATAAATTTGGAAGACTGGAGACAATTGCAGTAAGATACTAGCGAGGGCTAGGAAATGGGGAGGACACCTCCCACAGAACCCATGATGAACTTGAGGGAGCATTTCCAGGCCAGCATCCCCGCCTGTCGTGGAGGACAAAAGGCTATAGAGTGGGAGGCAGCCCTGAGCCTCACGTCCATCTGATCCAAAACTGTTTGGAATCTTTTCTTTCCACAATTTAAAAATCAATTTCCTTTCTGAAAAAGACACTATGTGCCAACCACACAAAGATCTGGGTCAAAAACAAAGCCAATTCGCAGAAATGACTTCATGTGCTCAGAACCGGGGAGGTGGATTTCTTTAATCCACAGCACACTAAAAACTGATAAAGATTTCAAATGGAGGAAAGGAAGGAGTGGATACAGATATACTGGGGCTCTTTTTATAGAACTGGAGTGTGAGAATGTTAATTAAAGGAATCTCAGAATCAGGGAGGATCTGAGAATGGAAGGGGCGAGAATTTAATTTTAGGTGTTGTTTCATTAGGTTAAAAAAAGAAGACAGTATCATGAGCTACCTGCAGCCGTGCTCAGGGACTTCATGGACCCCAAAAAGCTCCAACTGAAACCATAAAGTGTAAGAGACAGATTTAATGAAAAACCCCCTCCGCCCGGGAGAGAACCCCTTTATTTGAAACACAAATTTGCAAATCTTGGAGCATTAAATGATCATAATAGAATGTTAGATGTCATTCTAATGTTGTCCTTCAAAGAGCTGTCCTCATGCATCTTTTAGAATAAAAGGCACCCACAGAATTTACTGGTTGCTGGCTCTGCCAGAAAGTTCCAAAACCTAGGCCTGGCGTGTTCCTCAGTGTCCAAGTGAGTTTTCATTACATTATCCTCTTTCACATCTAGTGAATAGTAATACAACTAATAACAATAACAATAGCAATAATAATAATAACTAGTGGTTCTGCCCTTACTGGGGACCCCACTCTTCTCGTAAGTTTACATACAAGTTCTCTGGTCCTCTCAATGCCCTGCAGGAAAGACAGTCCCATTTCTATCTTGCAAATGCAGAAATTGAGTTCTAAGGTGGACATTCAGCTGGGGAATTGGAGAGCTGGGTACTGAACCCAGGTCTGTCTGCTTCCAAGTTCATTTGGTTTATGCACAAGGTCATTTGCACTATGCCACCTTAGAACTATCAGTAGAAGCATAAAGAAGTAATAAAATGTGTCCAGGGGAATGCAACCAGACCAGACACGAACAGGTGCACTCACTCTCCATTCTTGGCCTCTGCTCTTGAGCTGCACTGCATTCCCATACCTTGATGGCCAGCATGAGTGATTTTGACTGGTTCATACCCACAGCACTCACAGTTCTTGAGTTGTGGGTGGCAGTAAGATGGTTGCAACCCCAGGCAGAAAGTGAACAGCTCTAAATACCGGTGAGCTGAAATAAACCATCTCTTGCCAGAACAGATTGGTTCTGGGTCTCTTTGTCCTTCTGCTCAGATTATCCTGGCTTGGGTCAGAGAATATCCACTGAGAAAGAGAGAATTTCCAAAAAAGAAACAGTGTACTGGTAGTTGGGCCATTGTACTGCACAACCCCAGGGGGCACCGCTCACATAGATTCTAACATGAATGGTATGCCTCAGGTTGTACAGCATGTCAGTACTACAGTCAAATCCCAGGCTGCCCCCTCTGAGCTCTCTGCACTTGTGAGATACACCACCCACATATACTGCTCACTCCTCACACAGTTAACTTTCAGTGTAGCTAATCATTGTGTCTTCCCCAGTTGCACTAGACGATTCTCAAGGATAAGATCCAGAACTTCAATATCTATATTTCCAAAACCACCTTATATAGAGAAGTAGTTTCCAATTAAACTTTTGCTTATATCCACAACCAAATATATATTTCCTTTCAAAAATAAATGAATCACTTCATTTAGTACCATGAAATAGGAAGGCTGTCCATCTGGCATCCACCATATTTGTGTGTTCTCCTTGCAAGGTACCAGAAATTGACAAAAGAAAGGAAGGATGGATATGTTGTTGGGCATGAGCATTTAACAGAAGTCAAAGTCTACGCAAAGAATGGGCCTCCTGGTAGGCGTTCAGGTTCAGATTACCTGGAGAGACCTTTTTCAAAAAGGGTTACCCTCACGCCCCTGATATTATTCTATGTGGGCAGCTGCTCACACACCAGCCAAAACCCTTGGCCCAAAACCTCGTTTCATAGAGATTTTGATCTGTCTCCAAATATTTACTGAGCAGTGGTTAAGCACCAGGAGCTATGTGAGACAGAAAGTCACTGTGCCATTAAAAGACCTGAATATCTAATGCCATCAATATGGGATGCTTGGGTGGCTCAGTCAGTTAAGCGTCTGACTTCTGCTCCTGTCATGATCTCATGGTTCATGAGTTCAAACCCCAAGTGGGGCTCTCTGCTGTCAGCACAGAGCCCGCTTCAGGCCCTCTGTTCCCCTTTCTCTCCCACCTTCCCCACAGATTACTCCTTCCCTCTCTCTCAAATAAATAAGTAAATTTTAAAAATATTTATTTAAAAAATACATAATGCCATCAATAAACCAATAGGTATTTTATTCAACTCCATTCTCCTCCACTATCCCTCCATCTTCACCACCGTATTGGCTGCTCTAATGGTTCATTCCCTAATCCAGTCTCTCTTGTAAACATAGCCCAGGTCCAGAGCTTTCCAGCAGGGAGAGGATTACACTAGCAGGGGCAAGAATGAAGTTGGTTGACAAACCCATGACCTGGCTCTAGAGCTGCTCATTCAACAACCTCTACAACAATGCTATATCGCACCCTGCTGTGTGTTAGACTCTGTGGTGTACTGGGAGCTATGCAAACAAGAAGGTACTATCTACTGGGGAGCCTGGGTGGCTCAGTTGGTTAAGTGTCTGACTTCGGCTCAGGTCATGATCTCATGGCTCGTGGGCTCGAGCCCCGCGTCGGGCTCTGTGCTGACAGCTAGCTCAGAGCCTGGAGAGTGCTTTGGATTCTGTGTCTCCCTCTCTCTCTGACCCTCCCCTGCTCACGCTCTCTCTCTCTCAAAAATAAATAAAACATTAAAAAAAAAGAAGGCGGCGGCACAGGCTACTGAAGAAAACATCCTATAAACAAATGATTACAATTCTGGGTGGCCAATGACTGAAATGATTCACATAATATTCTTGTCTCCTGTTGTATCGAGCACCTGGCACAGTGCCTGGCCTGTATTGGGTGGATGCCTTGTAGAGTGGATTGGTGAGTGAATATATTAATGGAAAACAATGGCTGCTCCCCATGTGCCAGGTGCTGTGGAAAGAGTTTTACTAGTATTAACTCATCTGATGTTCACAACAACTTTGTGAGGTGAATATGATTATAACCTTTCCCCTGTTTCCTGATGAGGAAACTGAGGCCCAGAAAAATTAGGTGACTTGCCCAATTAGTAATAAGAAAAGACAAAATTCAAGCCTAACACAGACAATCTGACCCCAGAGCCTGTGCTCTCACTTATAATGTACTAAGTGCATGGGTCTGGGGAGTCACAGAGGAGCCAGTCACATCCCATCCACCATCATAATATTTCAGCTGATTGACCTCCACTGCCATTTTCTAACTACCATTTCCATCATTCCACCTCAATCACCGACACCCAAGTCAACGTTGTGTGTTGTCATCAGAAAATGCACCACTGCTGAAATCTCATTGTCAAGACTTCTGCTGTCTGCCTTCACCATGTCCTTCCAGATCACCCATTCTAGGACCTTGAGAGCCATGATGGAAACCCTAGTCAACCAACTCAACCACTGTTTCTACTATCAACCCCCACCCCCATCTCCATTTTCCTCCTTACCTTCCTTAGATTCCATGATCTGTTATTATAACCTTTCTCTAATCTATTCCCAACACTCTTGACTTTCTCACCTTATCATTCTTGCCCAGTAAAACTATACAACCACCTACCATTCTCCACTGTTGCACCAGAGCTACTAAATGTTGCCTCATTCCTTTCCCCCAGGGTGTATCTCAAATATCATCTCCTTAGAGATGACCAGCCATCCAACCAAACATGCTGTCTCCTAGTTTGTTATTTTAGCAAATTATTTATTAAGTGCTTTCCAGACATTGGCATTAGTGTTTTACATAATTAAACCTTTGATTCTTCGAGTTCAGGGAGGTGGACACTGTTTGTCATCATTATACCTACTCTGAAAACAAGGAAACTGAGCCCAAAGAGGTAATGACTGTCCAAGATGAAATAGTTATCACAGGTGGTCTCAGGATTTAACCCCACGCAGCCCAACTTCAGCCTGGCTTCTTAACCATCACACCATCTGCCTCTCTTACACCACCTGCATGTCTTCTTCTAGCTCTCTCAACAACCCAAACACTCCCTTATTTAGTTATTTATATGCTGTCAGTGTCCTCCTTATAATATGAGCAACTGTGTGGACAGAGAGCTTCTTTCCCAATCCTAGATCCCTACTGAACAGCAAGCACAGATAATAGGAGCAAATCATTTTTGTTTAATATAATTGAGTAACACTGTGTCTGTTTTGTATATGTTTCAGAGCAGATTTATTATGCTGGCCCCATCAATAATCCTGGACTTGAAATTCTGGAGGTAAGGTTTTGGTTTTCTGCTCTATTCTGTTACTTCATTATTGTATCGAACAGCTTCTCGAGGAGGAGGAGGAGGGAATTAAATAGTTTAAACATTTTCCACTGGCCCCCACCAAGAAAACCCTTCTTCAGTAAAGCTGATACCTCATGGTGGGTACTTATAAATGCTTAACATGCTGGTTTTGTCATTTTGATATTTAACATGTTATGTCCGTTGGACCCTTGGGGATTCCCTGGGCAGACGGCTACTACAGAGAGGGAGGCCTGAGTCCTGCCCTACAGGATGGCTGGCATCTGCAGGTACTGAATGGGTCAGAGATGCTGGGGAATGAGCTGTCAGTGAGACTGGCTGTTCAGAGAGAGGAACACACACACACACACACACACACACACACACGCGCGCGTGAAGGCTAAAGCCCCCCTCCTCCCCACCCCACACAAGCATGAAGGCCCCAGGTACCAACCTTACACTATTACTCATGGAAGGTCACCATGTGAATAAAATGCCCCTGCCCTGAGCATTCACTGGCGGGGCTCACATAAGAGTCCAGTTTTCCATGAATTCCTTTCTGCAAAATAATGTAACCTTCATAAATGGCTGAATCCTAGCAGCTCTGACATAAACAGTACATTTTCATTATGCTACTCCTGAGAGAACCTGATGACACATCATAAAAAAAATCACAAGGATGTAATAACTTTCTTTTTGTTTGTTTGTTTCAACTTTAACCTCTCAGCTTTCCAGAACCTAAAACCCATCTATGACTCTGAGAAAGGGTCTCCTTCTACGTAAAGAATCTGTTTAAATTTTCATTTCTCTTGCATGTGCTTCCTTTCTGTCCCAGCCTCTGGGTTCCTAAGGTGCAAGCCACACTGTCTCTAGAACATTCTCTAGCTGTTGCTCCCACAGATGGGAAGTTTGCAGCTTTACCTTCCCCTCCAGGGTTCTCCAGAGTTTTCTCTGCTGGCCTTTCAGTGAAATATTAGAGTCTTACAAACTCTTCGCTTCTAGGATGTAGGACTGAAATTTTCCCAACTAGTTTTTTCTTTAAGTCTTTGCTACTTGATGGGGCATCTGGGTGGCTCAGTCGGTTAAGCATCTGACTTTGGCTGAGGTCATGATCTCACGGTTTGTGGGTTCGAGCCCCGCATTGGGCTCTGTGCTGACAGCTAGCTCAGAGCCTGGAGCCTGCTCCAGAGTCTGTGTCTCCCTCTCTCTCTGACCCTCCCCTGCTCACACTGTCTCTCTTTCTTTCAGAAATAAATAAAACATTAAAAAAATTTTTTTTAAGTCTTTGCTACTTGAATTCTTTTTTCATCCCTGTTTTCCTTCTGAACCCCTCCCTCCCCCTCCACCTGGAGACTGACTTAAAATTTGCAAACAGTTGATTTTCATCTGGCATTATTGGCTTTTTAACTTTATTTTATTTCCATTTACTTATTTATTTTGAGACGGAGAGCATGACCAGGAGAGGGTCAGGGAGACAGGGAGAGAGAGAATCCCAAGCAGGGCTCCATGCTGTCAGCACAGAGCCTGATGCAAGGCTTGAACTCATGAACCATGAGATCATGGCCTGAGCTGAAATCAAGAGTGGAGTGCTTAATTGCATGAGCCACCCAGGTGCCCTGCATTATTGACCTTTAAAAAAGCAGCTCCCCTCGGGAGTTGCTATGAACTAGAGGAGGGGGATACAACTTCCTAAAGGCACAGAATCCCTTTGAAAGAAAATCTGGCAGAGATATAAAAAAGCTTTATTGCATTCCCCTAGGACACTTGGGTGAGCATGGGATCTGCATTCCTACACCAGTAATGCTGCTCAGCCTTGTCACCAGATGTGAGGGCACAGCCAGGCTCAGGTGTCCTGGCCGTGGGCATGGTTGTTTCAGCATCTACCGGTCCCCTTTCACTGGTCCTCCCACCTCTTCTCCTTCTTTGGGGCGTAGGAAGCAGAAGCCTCGCCAGCCCTGACCATGCCCCAGCCTACTGACACCTGGCCAGAATCGACAGGAGCCATTACCCAAGTGGGATGCATGCAACCTGTCACGTATGCAGCAGAGGCAGCTGGAGGCCTTAATCTCAACGTGAGCTCCCACGCTGGTGGGGGGGGGGGGGGGGGGGGGGGGGGGACCAGCTGCAGCCAGCCCAGGCTTCCTTGGCAGCCAGCCAGCCAGCAAGGCTCAGAGACTTTGCTTCCTAATATGGGACAGAGACATGTGAAGCTTTCTGGTTTTAAAAGACCTGCCCCAAATCCCCTCCTCCCGCCAAATCCCCCAGAGACGGGCCTCTGTGCTAATTCTATCCCTGCCTGGCTGAAAACTTTTCCACTCAGCAGTCAATCTGCAGGGTCTTGGTACTATTTGCTTTTCATCCTAGCCAGTCCCTTGGCCCAGACTGAGGTCCTGCCTGGAACCCCACATCTTCTCCAGAACTGCTGTTTTCCGAATTAGAATGTAGCCCTTTGGGGTTCCAAAGTGAGTGGACAACAACTTGTAGGCACTTGTGGGTACTAATCTGCATAAATGCCAAGGAAATAACTATGAATTCCTGACTCACAAATTCAGTGCTCTCCTCAACAGTACAGAGGCTGCGGCTCTCTGTCCCTTGTCCCTACCCTGCCCCTCCTGTCCTCATAGCATGTCCCCTCACCTGCCTGAGGATGAGCATGGTTGCCTAAATACTCTTACCTCCTAGACCAGAGCATGCATATCCTGGAGGTATGCAGGTATGTATGTAATGTAAGCATGTACTTCATCACCTAGAACCTTCCTGCAAATACTACATCTTTTCTTAGACTTAAAAAGCAATGAGAAATTCATTTGGTTTTCAATAATTTTGTAGGGTGTGTGCCTGAAGGCACAGGGACTCTAAAAGAAAAGTGGACGGTAATGATGGTGATGATGGTGGCACAAACAGGCGCAGGTTTGAAATGCTCTTTGCTCAGAATTAATTTTCTAACTTTTATACTGCTTTGGCTAAATTCCTAAACTGCTTCTACAATCACAGCTGCTCCAGTCTGGGTGACCAGAACTTGGAGCCACGCTGTCGCAGGATCCTCAGCTGAACGGTGCGCTAAAGGCTGCTCTAAGCAGCCGCCTCCTCTCAGCCACCATCCAGAGCACAACCTGGCTCTGCCGAATGCAGTTTTCTTTGTTGGGAAACCCGCTAGCTCCTGGACCTCTGCTCATTGCTAGAAAGTTGTTCTTTTCTTTTTAATTGTTTTAATGTTGATTTTTGAGACAGCGTGCACATGCGCGCAAGCACACGTTGGCGAAGGGCAGAGAGAGAAGGAGACGAGGGGATCTGAAGCGGGCTCTGCTCTGACAGCCTAACATGGGGCTGAAACTCATGAACCTGAGCCGAAGTCAGATGCTTAACTGAATAAACCACCCAGGTGTCCCAAAAGTTGATCTTTTCGAACAAAAACTACCTCTCATGCAAACTCCATCCAGTGGTCTGATTTCTTGCTTCCCTCTGGCTTCTACAGATTAACCCCCCTTTCCTTCTCTGGGTGACAGGCACTTCAAAGATGTGCCAGGAATCTCTTGAGATCCTCCCCTCTTGGGCCCTTCGCCCTGCTTACCACTAAGTCCAGCCACCCAGAGTGTCTCTTCTCTAGACAGGGAGTCTGCAGACCTGCCACCACCGTGTGGCCTCTGGGGGCTGGGGTGGGCGAGCTTGGCCACTGAGCAAACACGTGGGTTTTTCTGTGATTCCACATACAGCCCAGGCGCTAACCACAGACAAAGAGAGTCCTCTGTGGAATGTGGTTGACAGAAAGGAACCCTAAGACATGGCAGTACTCTTTCTGATAGAGTGTTTTGTTTTGTGTAGGTGAATCTTGTTCCCTGGGAGGTCTTCTCTGTCTTCCCTGGATCTTCCAATTGCTCAGGCCAGAATCTGCGGCGTCACCCTCAGCTTCTTTCCTTCTCTGCCACCCACATGGGTTCCCTCAGTACATCATATTGACTCTTCTTTCAAAATCTATGCAGAATCCAATCTCTGTCCTCACCTGACCCATCTGCTACAGGGCCGAGGGTCTCCTCTCTGGTCCTAACTGCTTATGCTCTCTGCCCCTCAGTCTCTTTGGGTCCTCTTAACATGCACATGTGGTCGGGCCACTTCTCTGGGGAAAATGCTCTCATGACCTGTATCCCTTTCAGAGTGGAAGCCAGTGTCTCCTCAATCATGGCCTGCGAGGCCATCCCCGACTCCTGTCCTTTCCCTACTTCCGGTGGTTCTGTCTCCCTACAGCCCCATGGGTCTTCTCACTGTGTCTCGAATGTGGGGCCCAGCCCTCAAAGCAGCTCTCCATCTACTTCAAGTCTTGGCCCAAACGTCGCCTTTGCAGCAGTACCTACTTAAACCTGCCAACCAGCACCAGCCCAGCCCCACCTGGCCGTGCCCGACCCAGCTGCCCTTCCCCTTCCTCGCCTGCATTCTCTCTGTAGCATCAGCATGTGCAATGTATGCACAGCGAAGTATCTCGTGCATTGTCTGTCCCGATGAGGCCCATAAGCTCCACCACATGAGTGTGGTCTACCTGGTTCTACCTCATCCCCAGTCTAAAACACTGCCTGCATAGAAGAACATAGAAGGTGCTTGAGGACTACCTGTCGAATGCTTGATTGCTCTGGGGGTCACACACCTCATCTTTCCCTGTGTTCCTTCCAGGGAGAATACCAGGTCTTGCTGGAACTATATAATGAAAACCGTGCCACCGTGGCCTGCGCCAATGCTACCGTCATTTGCTCCTGAGCAGCTGAAACGTGGAGCACGCTCTGTCTCGTGGGAACTGCAAGCCTCCCAGACTGAACCTGCTCTGGAAGAAACACCAGTCAACCACAGAGAAGCTCACCGGAGGTGTAGGTGCAGATTTTAGCCCCGGCGCCAGACGTCCCCAGACTCCACAGGTGTCCGTGCTTCTAAGGTTCCTCCTGGTAGCCACCGGCCTGTGGGCCCACCCTCCTTCCAACGGCCAGGCTCTCCTGCTTCTCAGCTCCTCAGGAGGACCTCCTCAGTCACCCAGAATAAAGAAAGCTGGCCCACAGTCTTTCCTCATGGTCTGTTCAAAGGATCGTAGCCCATATTTTAGTTACAATGTAATTTCCTCCACACAGGGTGCCAGGTGCTAGCACAGCATAACTAGTTCTGAGATTCAGGAGGCTGGCAGCCTGGCTGGAAAGATGATTTGGGGAAAATGTACCCCTTCTCCTCCTTCTTCTGGGAAAGTCCCAGGCCCTTTGGCCATGAGGCCTGAGAAACAGATGAAACCCTACAAAGAGTGACATCAAAGGCCTGCCTGACTGAACCTCATTTTATCTTCATTCCCAAAGCCTGGTTATCACTGGCCTCAGCACACCATGGCTCTCAGTAATGCATTCATTCATTCTCCATGAGTAGCTACTGAACACTTAAGTACCAGGCCCCGTGCTCAGCATTTAGGATACTCCAGGGAGGGTCCCCACCTCGTTAATTGTGCAGTCCCCTGAAATATTAAAAAGTCATGTCCATCAGTGAACATTCATTCACATACAGAAACACGTCCTTCAACGCCCTCCGTAAATGAGCAGGTTGCTGTCCGCTATTAAAGCCGTTTCGGCAGCCCTGTCTTTTTCTGTCCCAGGATGTACAGAAATGCACACTGGGCTCCACAGCTCTGACACCATCCCATCCCCTCCTCCTTACCCCAACCTTTCCAGGGCCCCTAAGCCCAGCATCTGGCCCTCTCGTTCCTATTGGCATCGAGTGACTGGCTCCATTTTGCAGGTCTTTGATATCCATACAAATGCCACTATGTTAGAGATTAAGACAGGAAAACTACAGTTTAAAAATGTTCATTGCTATTAATTACCATCTGTACCTAATTAAACTACCCAGAATAGCAGGCTGTAAATGCTTGGTGAATTAAAACTTTAAAACCAGCATCTGAGGTTTTTTGGGTTATGGAGTAACAAAATTACAGCAGTGTCCTCACCTACACCCATAAATGCGTGGGAGAAAAGTCATACTGTGGTTATGCCCGGCGGGAGAGCAAATCTCTGAACCCACACACACAGGGGCGATCCTGTCATGTGCACAGACGGCAAACCGAATTTCTGATCCTTCACCATTCCCTCTAGCAAGACATTCCCCTGTTCCCTTTCCCATAAGCATCCTTACGTGCAGTAAAGGTCATGTGGAGAGTCTGGGCGCTCACACGTTCCAACAGCTCAGGACAACAGTCACAGCCTTCCAGAGGCAGGGACAACGAGTAGGAACAAGCTCACTTTTTATTTTTCTGCAATTCATCTGTTCCCTTTCCCTTCCTATATTTTGTCATCTTCTTACAATTTATTGACAAGATGTGTGTGTGTGTGTGTGCGTGCGTGCGTGTGCATGCGCATGCACACGCGAGAGGTTCAGATCTCTGGGTTTGGGTTAAACAGGGGTTTCCATGTGCGAGGCTGGCCCTAGCCATGACTGAGCACACATGAATACACAGCAGCTGCACTAAAGGATTGACTTGAGAGGAAAAGAAGGTGTTTCTGAGTCCTATCACAGGCTTTAAATTTCACCAGCAAGCTGAGAAAGTTTTTTACTGGATCTGAGTCTCCTATTAAAACATAAAGTGGGGTCGCCTGGGTGGCTCAAGTCAGTTAAGGGTCTGACTCGGCTCAGGTCATGATTACTCCGGTGAGTTCGAGCCCCACATCAGGCTCTGCGCTGACAGTGTGGAACCTGGTTGGGATTCTTGGTCTCTCCCTCTCTCTTCACCTCTCCCCCCACCCTCTCTTTTAAAAATAAATAAGTAAATAAACATTTTAAGAAACAATAAAATAAAACACAAACCATCTTGGTCAGAGAAATGCCAGAATAATGATCACTATTTAATATTCTATCAGAAAATTAGTAACTAAGATGAAGTTTGGAAATGCCACCCCAGGAAGCAAGAGGTATTCAGGGAGGGGGATGGGGAACCCCCTGCGTGTGTGGAGAGTGCACTGGCAAAGAGCTTAGGTTGTGTTTCATCTTCTCACAGAGTTTGCTGCTGTTTCAAAATCACTACAAAACATTCTAAAAAAAACTTCTCAATAAAAAAAAAAAACTTCCCTAAAAAAAAAAATCAGTTTGATTCAAGATGATGCTATGTTCTCAAAGAGTTCTTGTGGAAACCAGACATTTCCAGTCATTTTGGTGTCCACAGGCCCCTCCTTATATTTTAAGAGAAAGTCTCTGTGTTTACATATACAGTTAACCGTTGAACAACAAGGGGATTAGAGGCACCCATGTGTAAATGAAAGTGAAAACCCATGTATAAATTTTGACTCTCTGAAAACTTAACTACGAAGAGCCTGCTGTTGATCAGAAGCCTTACCAATCACATAGTGAGTTAATACATATTTTGTAAGTTATGTGTATTTAATATTGTATTCAACAGAATAAGCTAGAGAAAAGAAAATGTTAAGAAAACATAAAGAAGAGAAAATACATTTACAATACTGCACTCTAGATGTGGACACTAGCAGTTCACACCCATGCTGTTCCACTTGAATTATACATATGCATGCTGTTCCAGGGTGTGTATCAATATATTTGGTGGGAAGGAAATGCCGGTGCCCAAGCCAGCACTGAAGCAGAAAGCTGAAGACCCATTTGGGCAGTGTGATCATGTCACTTAGAATGTCTGGGCATAAGGAACAGAGACTCAACTCAGCCTTAGACACACAGGGACCTCGTTGGCCCCATGATTGCTGAGCCCTCGAGCATCAGCTTTGGTTTCCTGCAGACGTTCACACTTCTCATCAGTGCTTCACCTCTATTTCTCCATGGTTCTTGCACTCTGGCCTCCCTGAATACTAGTTTCACCCTCAGACAGTCTTTCCTATAACAGCAAATAGTTTTACGCCCTGTCCAGTGTGCAAAAGAAGAGAGACAACTTTCTCCCAAAGCCCTGCATTCATTCTGCGAGCAATGGCTTGGGTCACATGACCACTCCAGGCCCTTCCCTTTGGCCCTGCACTGATTGGGTTAATCTAAGTCATGTGACCCAACACAGCGCTGGATTAGCGTTAGCTCTACTGGAACCACACTTATCCCAAATGTAAACTGGGGGAGTTGGAGAGCGGTAAAGGGAGAAAGCAGAGAAAGATTCCAGGAAGCTGGAGCTTGTCTGGAATTAGGTCAGCACCACAGTCTTAACCCTCCCCTAGCTGCTAACAGTGAGTGACTTAATTCTCTAAACTTGGCTTGCTCACCTGCAAATGTCAGCAATAATACCTGCCTTATATAAGTATTGAGAGCTAAGAGAATGCATGGCAGACACTTAGAACAGAGCTTGGCAGGTAATTCAATAAGAGTGAGTTATTATTATGCTGAGGTGGTGCCTTGTCCCTTTGGGCTGCTATGATAAGAGTCCTGTAACCTGACTGCTTTATAAACAACGGACATTTATTTCTTACAGAATGGAGATTGGGAAGCCCAAGATCAAAGTGCTGGCAGATTCAGTGTGTCATGAGACTCTGCTTCCCAGTTTAGAGGAGCTATGTTCTTGAACGTGGAGAAAGTGCAAGACAGCTCTCTGGGACCTTTTTCTTAAGGGCACTAATCCCATTCATGAGGGCTAGACCCTCATGTCCTAATCACCTCCCAAAGGCCCCACCTCCAGATACCATCTCCTTGGGAATTAGGATTTCAACACATAATTTAGGAAGGACACAAACCATTTGGTCAATAAGACGTCAGAGCTAAAGTCCCCTAATTTACCTCTCCTGTCCCTCCTGCATTATTGAGGCAAAACAGTCTTCTAGTGCTGCCCTTTCCCATAAGCCCATGTTCCTTTTTAAGTGCTGAGATGGTTCCTTGGCACCTTGATTTCTTCTAAGTGCAGCTAGTTTTATGAGAACTGGGATGGGGCGTGTTCACTGAGCTGCATCCTGGAAGCATGAACTCCCAAAGAGGATTGAAGAGAAACATCCAGGTCCAAATTTCCCCGAAACAGAAACATTTTAACCAGGCCAAACAGGCCTGGGAAAGAAAATATGCATAATTCTTTTTTTTTTTTTTTTTTTTCGAGTTTCTTTTTTTTTTTTTTATTATTATTTCTAGGAGAGAGAGAGAGACAGTGTGAGCAGGGGAAGGTCAGAGAGAGAGGGAGTCACAGACTGAAACAGGCTCCAGGCTCTGAGCTGGCAGTCAGCACAGAGCCCGACGCGGGGCTCGAACCCACGAACCGCGAGATCATGACCTAAGCGAAAGTCGGACGCTTAACCGACTAAGCCACCCAGGCGCCCCGAAAATATGCATAATTCTTAATTAAATTTGTTTCTTGTAAAAGAAAAAAGAAAAGATACACTTGCAAAAAGGGAGGAATTAAATGTAATATCTACACATTTAACAATTACATCTGCCTTCAGCAAAAATAACCCAAAATAGCTCGTGAGAGAAGGGAAAGGGCCACATCCTGGTTTTAACCCGAATTGTTAGGGAGGCAGTTCATCGGGTCTCAGCAGTTCAAGTTCAGATTTGAATCAGCTGCATTTTTTGTCAGTCAGCAAAACCAGTTCCTCTAATTTCCTGATCATTTTCTCAGGCAAGCAGAGGCTCCAGGGGAGTTGGGAAAGCACTCATTTACATCCAGTTTGCAAATACCTTCAATGGCCCCATTTGAAACTGAAGGCTTCAGCTGCCTTTAGATGCACCAGGCTGAACTTTTTTTTCTTTCGTTCTCCTCTCACCCAGCTTTCCTTTAAAATGTGTGACAAAACCAAATTCTTTCCCCCCAGTACCTTGGTCTCCTCACTCCTATGGAAAAGAATTTATGCATGGATGTTATTTCAGCTGAAAACAATGATTTCTTCCCCCAGCTGATATTTTTATGGATTCCCTGAAACCCAAACAAGGTCTAGAAAAAAAAGAAAAAAGAAAACATCCATGCCATAGAAGCCTGTACCATTTTATTGTGGCTTTCCTTTCTTCTATTCAGAAATGGTAGAGGAGAATTTGAGAAGGGGCCAGAGAATATTATTGAAATGATCAAAGGGATACAGCCAGGCTTCATCATAAAGATAA